GATCCTACTCGATTCTTTTGCTTAGTCCAGTTGGCTTGGCCCTGCAGAATTCATAGAAATAATTACCTGCCCTGAGGCAGTGGCTAGCAGCAGAGGCTACTGAATCTGATCCCTTCACTATTTGTCAACTGAGTGACCTTAGGTAAGTTACAAAATGTCTCAGAGGCTGTTTCCTGACTTCCAAAATGGGGATTAAATGAGGTAATATGTGCAAAGTGCTTAGTACAGGGCTTGACACATAACAAGCAGCAAGCAGGAGTAATCCTTAAAGCTATTAGGATTTGGGAGCTGACAGAGACTTTATTCATTAGGTTAAGTTCTAGCTGTGGCTGAAGAAAATGAGACTCTCAGAGGTGAAGTGATGTGCCCAGTTGGAACTAGAAGCCTCAGCTCCTGCTTTGCTGACCTGTGTACCTTCCACCTCCCCTGCCCCTCCCAGAAGTCCCTAGTTCCTATGGAACTCTCAGGCACACACCAGCAACCTTGGAAGGCACCAGTTAGGCCCCATGACCAATGAGCCCCTTCCCAGATCCTTTTAATCTTCCAGTTCCACCTGTGGCCACACTGGCCACCTGGCAGCTCTGTCCTGAAAATTCAGCTGGCAGGAGAGGGAGCTGATTCTGGGGAGGAGCATGGAGTGTCGGGGGTGGCTTTGCCTGTTATTCCAGCTTTCCATTCTGGATCCAGCTGGGGCGGGCGGTGACAGCAGGTCGGGTCTAGCGTGGTTGGAGGCAGATATCCCTTCCTCCACTCAGCCTTCCCACTCCTTCACAGCTGCAAGGCCAAGGAGGAGAGGGAGGTCAGGGATGGTTTTTTATGATTGTCACCCTCTTTTGAGAAGAAGCCTCACTATTCCCTGAGGATATCCCAAGAAAGACTTGAGTTCTAGGAATAAAAAATCCCAAAGGAGTCATTTCTGATTTTAGGTGAGGAATAAGATGTCAGGGAGCATTCTAGACCTGTGTTGGGCCCCTCCACAACCATACCTGCCTCTTTGTAACTCTTTTTTTTTTTTTTTTTTTTTGCGGTGTGGCGGGGTCTTCTACCAAAATGTAATTCCTTTTAACTGTTTTTAAATTGACTGTGGGCATCTTGAGCACAAACTGAAGAATATGAAGCCCAGGAAATGAAGCTAACCTTGGGAAACATGGTGAGGGGAGCCATTTATAAGCCTGGGCTTTGGTGTCTGGAATTTAAGTTTATGCTCCTGGGGGAGAATCTGGTTAGGGCAGTGATCACTGAAGCCTCACTCATATCCTGTCTACTTCTATGAGCTGGATGGGTGATGGCAGGGAGAGTGAATGTGCAGAACTGAACTATCGTTATTATGTGAAACCTTGGTCATCTGGTGTCCTAGAAGAAACATATAATGAAAGCACTAGAAGTCTTCATGAAAAAAAAAATCAAGGCAAATTCTTAGAAGCCAGAGGGCCAGATCAAAAGAGAAATGTCCTTCTAACTTCAAGGTAATCATCCCCATCCCGACTCACGCTAATACTGTAAGTAATGGTAAGCAACAAAGGGACTTGGAGGCTGAATTCCTCTCCATGCCATAGCCTTTCCTCTGCATCCTATACCATCAATTCCCTCACCCCCTCTACTTTCAGCTAGGGCAGGCTGTCAGAGACACATAAACAGTTTGGGGCATAGAGGTGGGCCTGATTATTATTAGGTTGAACTATATGAAACTGTTATTATATGACTGCTTTTGGCCTGCAAAACAACGATTTCACATTAACAATGTTATTTTTAAGGCAATCCTAAGAGCTACTATTTATTGAGCAGCTAGGTTGTGCAAGAGACTTTATGCATAGCGTGCTGTTTATTCTTCCCCACAACCCATACAGGTGAATATTATTATTCTGAAATTTTAGAGGAAGGAGCTGCGATAAGAAAAGATTAGATAGCTTGCCCAAGGCTACACACCTCTAGCAAATGGTAGAGCCTTGGTTGGTTGACTGGGCTGCATTTGCTTATCCTACAAAGTAGGAGTAAAAATATATTCTGGACTCTGAAACACAAAGGTCTGAACCTTGGGTCCACTGGTAACTGTATGAGCCAGGTAGGTTTTTAAACAGTCTAATCATTAGGTTTATTAAGGGTAACAATAAAAAGGTACATCACCGCTTTATTTTGGGGGGACTAAATAAAATAATGCCTGTAAAACACTGTTATTGCACCTGGAACAAGGTAAGTGCTTAAATGGTAGCTGTCACTGTGATTCCTTTCTTCCCCATAAGTATACCCTGGAAAGGGCTTCTTACTCCTGCTGGCCTTTTCATTTTCTTTATTTTCTTTTCTTTTCTCTTTTCTTTCCCTCCCTCCCTCCCCTCCCTTCCTTCATTCTTTTCTTTTTTCTTTATTTTCTTGGAGTGAAGCCTTTTCCCTGTCACTTCTTCCAAATCATCTCCTATCTTCTGTGTTTGAGCTCATTCTTGGGCAGTGGAAAATGAAGAGTCAATGGGAAAACAATTTCTGGGGCTCTAGCCTTAGGTGGGGGAGGCTGGCTCACTGACTAGTATCCCCATCCTTGCCCTAATTCCAGCTGTGAGCTTCTTGCAGTTCTACCGGGGAGAGGGCTGGGGCACTGAGGCTTCACCCTCTCCACGGAAAACCCTGGACTCAGACTGGGTCCTTCTGAGCTGGAGGTACCCTCTGAGAGCGAGGGACAGGTGGCCACTCAAGGAGTGCCTGCTGCTGTTTTCCTTGCTCCTCCTTTCCACCTTCCAAGCAGCTCTGCAGACCCCTAACTGGATGCTGGTGATGGACCTGGCTCTCCTACACCCAATCCTACCTGCACTTCTCTTTCCTGAATTGAGACACGTCTGTCCACCTGGCCCTGAACCTTCCTCTTCACCTGTCGCTGCCCCCACCTCAGTGCCACAGCCCTGCTCCAGGCGCGGCACCCATCTCTGCACCTCCCATCCCCGCGTCGCCATAGTCTCAATCTCTCAGGCCTCTCTATTCCTACCCCACTCCCGCGGAGTCAAGACCCAGTGACCCCACAAGAACCCTCCTGCTCCGCCCCCAGGAGAACGCCTGCTCCAAGCCAGATGACGACATTCTAGACATCCCGCTGGACGATCCCGGCGCCAACGCGGCCGCCGCCAAAATCCAGGCGAGTTTTCGGGGCCACATGGCTCGGAAGAAGATAAAGAGCGGAGAGCGCGGCCGGAAGGGCCCGGGCCCCGGGGGGCCTGGCGGAGCTGGGGTTGCCCGGGGAGGCGCGGGCGGCGGCCCCAGCGGAGACTAGGCCAGGTGAGGCAGCTCGCGGCGAGCTCACAGCCGCAGCCCTCCCCAGAAGGAGCAGGGGGAGAATAAGGGCCGGCTAGGGGGTGCAGGGGGGCATGGAGGGAGCTAAAGATTGAGGGATAGAAATCCGAGTCGGGAGGTGGGTGGGTGGGAAGAGGCTGAGGGTTGAGTGGATTCCAGGAGCTCACCTGTTTCTCCTGCATCCTTTCTGCCCTGCCCTGGACGGAAGAAGAACTGAGCATTTTCAAAGGTAATGAACACGGTCCCGAGGCGACGGGGTAGGAGAAAAGGATTGAATCCCATGTCTTCCCTCTGCTCACCCTCACCCCTCCCAGCGAGGGAAGATGTACCCCGCGCCTTTGCGTTTTCTGATACATTCAGACTTCCAAGGCTGCGATAGGGACACATCAAGACGCCCAAGGCTGCAACAGGGACACACCTGGACTAAGACATGCTCAGTCACCCCATTTGGCTGCACAAGTCTGGCCAAGGGGCAGAAAACACATCATGGCGCGCACACATACCTGCCGCGGGGCTCATTTCAGCACCATGACTCGGGCTGGGGGTTCTGGGTGACTGGGGCCCCTTGGCACTCCCCGCCCAAGGAATCTTGGTACAGAAAGGGGGAAGGGAGTGGGGAGAGGAAGTAGCAAGAGAGGATGGGTTCTCAGACCTTCTCTCCCCTCAGTTCCCGAGGAGAGATGGATGCCGCGTCCCCTTCGCTGCGACGAGACTTCCCTGCCGTGTTTGTGACCCCCTCCTGCCCAGCAACCTGCCAGCTACAGGAGCCCCCTGCGTCCCAGAGACTCCCTCTCCCAGGCAGGCTCTGTCGTCGCGGAGTCGCTGAGTCCGTGCCCTTTTAGTTAGTTCTACAGTCTAGTATGGTCCCCATTTGCCCATCCACCCCACCCCACTGTAAACCCTGCGCTCCCAAATCCTTCTTTTGCTTCTCGCCCACCTCTCCCCGCACCCAGCATGCAGCTCTGCCTCCGCAGCTTCAGTGCGCTTTCCTGCGCGCACTGCGGAGGGCGCCCTAAGCGTCACCCAAGTACAATTACTTAAAGAAAAAACAAGTCCTTTCGTTCTGTGCGCAGCTAAAAGGGGCGCCCTACATCTTCGTGCCCCAAGCCTAGCCCCAGGACTTTGGATCTGGGGCGAGATGAAGAGAAGAGGGTTTTTATGGTGTCGACGCCCCTTACTCTGATCGGAAGAGAAGTCCCTATCCCACACCTGCCTGTCACGTTCTCTCCCCTTTCCCCAGCGCACTGTGGAGGGCAGCCTCTCCAGCTCTCTTGTTTATGCAAACGCCGAGCGCCTGGGAGGCTTGGTAGGAGGAGTCTTCCGCGGCCCCGCCCCGCCCCTGTCGGCCCCGTCCCCGCTCCCCGCTGGGCTCCTGGGGCTGTGGCCGAAAGGTTTTTTTATCTCCGTGTGTGCATGTGACTGTGCTGGGTTGGAATGTGAACAATAAAGAGGAATGTCCAAGTGTTCAGAGGGTGCCAGAGGAGGGAGTTTGGGTGCACAAGGCCTCGGCTTGGAGCTTGAACAAGTCTCCTTTGGTCAAACTAAAAATCAGGACTGGTGGGGTGAGGTGGAAGCACCTAGGTTGAAACCTACCCCTTTTACCCAACCAAACTTCCTGCCTACCTACAGCATCATTTCTCGGACTTCAAGCCCATTCCTTCCCTTACTGTTAATACTCTTTGAGCCGCCTAGAGGAATTCGCTATACCAGCAGAAAGGAGGAGACAGTATGGTACCCGCAGACTTTAATTACTGATATTCCCCCTTACCGCCCTCAGGGATGAGAAGTCACACAACCATAGGGAGCTTGGACTTGGTGGTCGTCACGGTGCTGGCAGATGAGGGTCTTTCCAGGAGCCCCTTGCTAGAGTCAGCCCTCGAAGTGTGCTCAGAGACCCCAGGAGCGACCGCATCCTCCCTGATGGGTATAGGCAAGTTCTTAGTGAAGAGTTGAAGTCTCCTGCAGAAGAGGGCTGTCCTCTAACCTGGATGACTCTCACTGTACATGAGAATCATCTGTGGAACTTTGGTTAAAATGAAGTTTCTGGGCCTCATCACTCCCCAACACACAACTCTAGCAAGGCTAGGAAGTGGCCTGAATCTGAATGTGCAACTAGTTCCCCATGATTTCTGTCCAGGTAATCTGAGGACTCCACTTGGAGAAATATTGCTCTGATCCCTATCCTACACCCTGACTGGCAGCTAAAGTAAATGACAGAGGCAGCTTCCCCTCCCCTTTCCTGATTTCTTCCACAGAAGAACTGAACTCAGCTGACTGCTCAGGACAAATACAGCTTCTGGCATCTACAAGCCACTACTACTCCCAGGTGGTTAAAATATATGAAAATCCCTTCAAAACAGAAAAGTAAACTATTAAATAGGAGGGACTGGACAGTCCTGCAAACTGAACTTCCCTGCCACGGCTTGTGGACCAGCCACTCCACCCTGTACTGCTTGCCTTCGCCCTCAAATCCACAGGTTATACTGCTGTCACCAGAAAATCCCAGAGCTGAACAACATCTACAACATTAAATAAACACATTTAATGATGTGAGAGTTTGAGGGCTGCAGGCACCCACTTTTAACCCAAGCCCTTTCCTCCCTCCTTGCACCACCCCCCAGCCCTCCTGCTCACCGAAGGTCACTACCCTCATATGTCTCCTTGGGATTCTTCCCCCTCTCTTTCTGGAACTTGATCAGGCAGAACGCAGTAACTGACAGCAACAGCACACCCAGGAGCACCCCAATTAGAGCCCCGGCCACTCGGCCTTGTGAGGGTTCTAAGGAGACACAGGACCAAGAGAGTTGCAGACATTCCTTGGCCCACCAGCAGACCACTTCATGCAGCCTCCCAACACAAGCCTGCTGGCCTGGCCTCCACCCAGCATCCCTACCGGTCACAGAGAGGGTCAGCTCACAGGATGCACTGCCCATCTGGTTGGTGGCCACACAGCGGTAGGTGCCCGAGGAGGTCAGGGAGAGGTTGGTGAGAATGAGCTGGCCAGACACCTCATCTAGAGGATGAAGAGGGAGTATTCCACCACTCATTCAAGTCTGAGCACCTCTGTGAGGATAGCACATTTCATTTCATCCTTATAACAATACTGTCGGGGAGGAACTAATTTTTTTTTATTGGTGGGGAAACTGGTTCAGAAAAAGGAAGTAATGTGTCTGAAGTGACCCAGAGAGGAATTTCAAAGCTGCTGCAATTTACCTGTTCTTTCCACCCTACATAGCTGCCTTTTGGGGAGGAAGAGGGCTGCACACTCATGAAGGATTCAGACACTGGCAATGGAGTCGGGGTGGGGTGCTGGCTGGCTGATGTCAGGCTCCTGGTTTGGTGTAAAAGGCTTGATTGCTAGAAACTGCATCTTGTAGGGTGGCTCTAAGCTGACACAAATGCTTTTCTAAACTGCTTGCCTTAGAAGGCAGAGCACACACAAGGAAGTGATCTGGGGGTGGGGATCATTCATTTCTGGATTGATAAAGAGGTTTCCTGGGGCTGGAGAGAGAATAACTGGATCCAGGAAGAGGAAGCTAAGAAACTACGGCTCCTATGTATATGGTTCCTCCAAAGAAACTGGTTAAAAGATTCAAGCCAATCCATCCTAGTCTGCCTCAGTTTCCTCTCTAGGAAGTCTGGAAATGATCCATGACCCTTAGGAAACCTAAAATAAATCTCCCCAAAGCAGATGAGTGGGCATCATCAGAATGCTCCCTGCCTTCTACTCTCTTCCAGGATATCAGGAGTATATTTAGCTTGAGAAATACTCCCAGGATCCCCCGGCCACAGACTGTGCAGGAAGACAGGCAGGAGGGAACAATACAGGAGGCCAAGGAAGAGGAGGCAGGGAAAGGTATAGTGGTTTGTCTCATACCCCTCGTCATGGAACTGGTAATATGTCTGTGTGGGATTTAGAGACCAGATCTCCCCAGGTGTCCAATCCCCTTTTCCTGATGCCCTTGGCCCTTACCTTGAACCATGCTGCCAGGAGAAGGTGTAGGAGAAGATCCAAGACGCACCCAGTTGTATACTGGCCTGGGAGCCCCCTCGGAAGAGCTGCATCTCAGTGCAGCAGAGCCTCCCACAGAGGTTTGCCCATTCTGACTGCATGAAGGATTACTGGGGGGAACTGCAAAAACCATAGAAAGTTCCTCAGAAATCCTCCGACCCCACTCCCAGCTCCATTAGGTGCTACATTCTCTACTTCAATACCCCTGTCAAACAGTGGTCATTGTGTCCACACACCCCTGCATCCCCAGGAACTGAGGGATTTCCACTATTGGAAATTCTGATTGTTAGAGAAAATTCTTCCTCATGTGGAGCCAAAATGTGTGTAACAATATCCACCCATTGGTTTCAGTTACCGACCTCTGGGCCCACAAAGAAATTAAAATCTCTCCTCCACATGACAGCCCTTTGGGGGTTGAATCCGGCAACCGTATATACACCACATCCTAGGTCTTCTCTTTTCCTTCTAAACACTGCCAGCTTCTTTGACAGTTTTTCTGGTTGCTCATCTCTGAGCAGCCTCTAGTTTGGGGTGAGACAGAAGCTCTGAGCATGAGGTTAGTGCCCAGTAATAGAGGCCCTTGTTCCTTTGACCGCCACTCCCCTTCTCTGCCACTGACCTTGGGAGGGACAGAATCCAACTACCAATGAGAGGTTACCCCATGATAGAGCTGCTGGGGACAGACTCAGATCCCCATGTATGGGAAAGGCTTTCTCTCACACACTCTGTTATCAGGCCCTGATGGAGGAGATGCCCTCGGTGGAGGGTGGAGTTGGAGTATGACCATCTGGATTAGAAGACTTGGAAAGGGAGTATTTTCCCTTGGGGCCCCCAGTGCAGTTGTGTACTTGGGCTAAAAGTCAGAAATAGGAGATTTAGCAGGACCAGTGCAAACTCTCAGAGTATGTGAAAGAGTAGTTCGCTGGTGGATCCCCAGCCTGCCTTACCCAGCACAGTAAGATTGATTAGCCCCAACCCATTGGTGTAGAAATCTGGTGGGTTGTTGACTTGGCAGAGGTAGGTTCCAGTATCTGAGGGGTGGATGTCAGTCAGTTTCAGCGTGGCCACCCCCCTTGTGGGGGGGTTCTGAAGCAGGCTGACCCTCTTCGACTTAGAACCAGTTGGATACAGATGGCCATTGGTGAAGTACAGGATCTAGGGAGAGGCAGAAGACACACATATGTGCCTTTTTCTGCCTGATCAACTCTACAGTCCTTCATCCTCAAATTAGGTACGAGGCCCCTGACTTACGTCAGCCAGGGAGGCTGATACCCTATAGCTGGAACCTCAAAGGCTGTCTCCCCAAACCACCCCTTTTCAGGTGCTAAATGAACCAGATTCATTGTGCACTCTCTCTTTCCCTCTCCCTTCTCTCTCCCTCCCTCCCACCCTCCCCCTTCTCTCGCTCTCCCTCTTCCTTCTCTCTCTCTCTTTCTCCCTCCCTCTCCCTCTCCTTTCTCTCCTCTCTCTTGCTCTGTGTCTCTCTCTTTCTCTCAAAGAGCCAGAAGAGGCACGTATTATCTTGGTATCAGTCACAACACCTTAGTGTCAATGGATATATTAACTGAAACTCTGCACTAAGGCAGGGGAGGTGGAAATAGGGGCTATGGGAGAGGAAGGGAAGATATAGGGTGAGGCAGACTGCAGCCCTGAGAAGATCTAGGCAGAGCCCACTTACCTTTTCATCCAAGCACACTGATCCGCAAATGCCCCCTCCCGACCCCTGCCCTCATCCTGGCTTCCTGTCTCTCCAAGCCAACCCAGCTTCATGCAATTGCTCTCAGCTCACTGGATGGGAGTCGGAGATGGGCTTCCCAGGCTGCACAAAGCTCCACTCCAGGGCGAAGCCGTCTCCCACGGACGTGCTGTAGGTGCAGGTCAGCTCGGCTGTCTTCCCCACCGGCATGCTCAGCGGCTCAGTGGGTACCTTCACCTCCACTGCCAGCCCTGTGGCGGGGAACCCAAATTCCAGTGATCTGGAGGGTTGGGCCCACTCCGGTCATCTACATTGAAAGCTGAGGGCTCCCTCCCCAGAGCACAACCCTTTCCCCTCAATCCAACCCCTCCCTTCCCAAAACCTGAGGTTTCCGGGACTGGCCGGGTCTTTGTGGGTAAAAGGGCCAAGACTGGGCCAGGTAAGAGGGTGTGCGTGTTTAGCAGAGAGAGAAAAACACTACCCCTGCGGTGGGTGGTTCAGGCCTGTACCACGGAGAGGCTGAACTCCGCCAGCTTGGGGGCCTCTCTCCTCTGCCCTCTTGGCCTTCAACACCCCCTCCTGGCCTCACCCCAGGCACCTTAGGGCCCGTATGGCCCATGGCAGCCTTAGTTGGCCTGGCAGGGACAGAGTGGGTCCCCAGGAGCCGGGAAGCCGGGCCTGTGCCCTCCAGCTCTGTCGTGATCCCGCCCAGCCCCTCCTCACCACTCAGGCACAGATAGCCTAGCAGGGTCCCGCAGAGAAAGGGCCCCGGGAGCCCGGCCATGGCCGTGTCCAGCTGTCCTGCTCCTGCCAGGTGAGCGGTTGGTCGAGGTCAGTCTGGGGTGTCGGGGAAGGAAGGGAGCACCCAAGGGTAGCCGCCTGGACTGGGCAGGAGCGAGACTGGTATCTCAGAGCAAACAGGGGAGAGGCCAGCACCACAGGTTAAAAAAAAAAGTGCTCCTCCCTCCTCCCTTCCAGCCACAATTCTGCAGTCCCTCTATCCCTGCTCCCTCCTTCCTTCCTCTTCTCCCCAAGGTCTGAAGGCGTCAGGCCTTGGGAAAAGGGCTGGGCCTTCTGCGGAGACAGGCTTGGCACTGGAGCTCCGGAAGGAAAGCTGACTTGGGAAGACGGAGTTGTCCTGATACCCCAGAGCTGGCAAGTGGCGTCCCCACCTCAGACCTCACTGTGACTGTGAGCCCCAGGCCACAGACCCTTTCTGTCCACGCCACTTTTCATTTCACCACTGGGGATGGTAGGAGTCTCGGTAGAAATGAGCTTCTCTCCATTCCCAGAGCCACTCCATTTTAGGGGCAGAGAAACTGAAACCTAAAGGAGACCCCACCCTTGGCAGGAAACATGGCAAAATTTGGACACAGACCTGCACCCCATACTATGCCCAGCTCTCCCTCAGTAACAAGGGGTATCTCTTCCAGATGGGCAAGAAGGTATCTTTGTTAAGGATGCTGTGGTCTGGGAGAGGAGCCCAAGTGAGCTTTCTCTGCCCTGTCCCTGAAGAGGAAGCAGGTGAGGCACGCATACCCCTCAAGCTCCTGCTCCAAAGCGTACTACATCCCCCTGCTGCTTAGAGCAGCTTAGGGTCTCCTCCCTTTCTCCATGGGACAAACAAGGACCCTTCTAAACACCAGAAGAGCTGCTCTCATCCTGTGGGGAGAAGCCCTCCTGGGTACACAGCTTGGGAAGGGGTCTGCTTTGCATTATCCAGAAGCTCAACTTCTAGAATTCTTAGTTTGAAAAGGCAATTTGATTCTTATCCCATACAAACACAATGCATCTTTATTGAAATTTGCAAATGAAAACACACATTTCATGTTAGTTTTAGAAAATACATTCCCTATCCTCTGTTCCAGTAAAACCTAGTCAAGCCAGCCGGACAGGTTATATCAATGCAGGGAGCTGGAGTGGGAGCAAAGGGTGGTGTGAGATAGGGGTGGGGTACAGATCAAGGAGGCCTGGGAGACTCGGTGATTGGCAGTCTCTGCCAGGGCCCTTGGTGAGTAGCTAATTTCAGCATCTGGCTTCACAGGGAGAAGTGGTGGTGGTGGGGGGTGCAGTGGAGGCTCCTCCCAATTCCAGATCCACTTCTTCTTCTCCCTCTTCTGCAATCTCCTGGACACTTGGGTCTTACTGAGACGGTTTTCCCACAGTAAAGAGAGGTAGGGATAGAGGACTAAGGGTCTGGAGTGTGACTACTCTTCCATGACTCAGGCCTCTGTGCTAGAGGTGACCCCTATAGGAAGGAGAGACTCCAAATCCTTTAGCCAATGACAAGCTGGGTCATCACACCAGAGACCCAGCTTGACTCTGGGCGGGCACCATCACTGGCACAGCACCCATGCGGCCCAGGGCAGAGGAAGAAACCCCACCAGGGATGGTGGTTACTGCTCGAGTGTGGCCCCCATCTGTCGTGGGCAGTTTTGGTGAGGGCAGGACCCTGCTGGAGAGACTGGGAGTGGGGGTCAATGAACCAGGCCTGGGAGGGCCGTGGGGTGGCCGGAGGGCTCGTGCGGAGGTGACAGAGGAAAGGGTCCCATTCCTGGAGATTGTGTCTGAGCTCTTGGCCCAGGGCAGGGTCCGGGGAGCAATGGCATCCTCCCTAGTCATCAAAGAAGTAACAAGAGGTCAGAAGTGAGACGGGGAAGGAGGAGAAAGTTTCTACAGGCTTGATCTTATATTCTATCTCTCCCTGCACACTTCAGTACTCCTTTCCCTCTCCTTAAAACTTGCCCACAGGAATGATGTTTCAGCCACTAACCCCCTCCTTCCAATAGATGAGAGCTGCCTGAATTCTCAGACTCTGTGAGGAGAGCTGGAAGAGCCCTCATTGCAGCAGAGACCAGGAATACTTACTTGATATCATTGGCTGGCTCCTCCAGGGCCTTGCCCCGGCGGTGGTACAAGAGGACCAGCCCAGCCAGCAACCCCAGTCCAACCAAGGTACCCACAATAGCTCCAGAAACTACCGCAGCTCCAGGCCCTGGAAAAGGCATCGTGTCAGAGGGGCACACCCAGCTGAGGGGTTCCCACATCTCTTCAATCCCACTCCCCCGACCCCACCTGCCACCATATACATTCTCTCTTTTTCCCTGTCAAGGAGAGGGGTGGCTGTCAAGCAGGAAATGGCCAGTCACAGACCAAATATTTGTACAAACATTTGAGCAGGGCAAGCTCCTGGCCCTGTTGCAATGAGAGGCCTCAGCAGACAGGCTTCCTCCCCTCTTGCAACCTCTCTCCCACCATTGACCACTCTTCTTAACCACACTTACCCCTCACTGACCTGTGCTCACTTCCAGGGTCACATTGCACTGGGCAGTGCCCACCTCATTGTGGGCCTTGCAGACATAGATCCCAGACATGGAAGAGGAAAGGTTGGTGAGGCTTAAAGACCCACGGATGATATCTGTGGACACAATTTATCCATCAGTCCAGGGATCCTCTTTCCCATTAAAAAAAAAAAAAAATCTTGTCCCTTCTCTGGAATGTCCCCTTTGACCGTCTGGAAGTCATAGCTTATCTATTCCCTGAAGCGGGGGAAAGGTGTGACAGCTGGGATCGGCTCCCAGCTGCGGTCTGGCTAGCACAATACCCTCTCTATTCACTCCTCATTCACTGCCCTCAGTGGAAATCTGACCGAAGGCTACAGAGAAAGTGATGCTCAAAAAAGCCAAAACACCATTTTTACTTTTATTTTGCCAAGACAGCGTGATGAGAGAGAAAGAACACTGGGGTAGGAACAGGCACACGTGGGCTCCAGAGCAGGCCACAGGACTGACTTTAAGCAAGTTACTTGATATCTGAGGATCTCAGTTTCTTCGTCTGTAAAATTGGGACAAGATGACCTCCCTGATGGTGTTGAAAGGACTATACAGACTAATCATTATGACAGTTAACGTTTATTGGCTGCTTACTCTGCACCAAAGACTGCTCTAGATTCTTTACGTGTACAAACTTACCACAATTTCCCAACAAACCTGTGAGGTAATAAAGATTGTTTTAAAAAAGAAAAAGTTCCTATTATAAAAATGGTCACGTGAAAAGTAGAAAGAGAGGCAAAATGAAAATCCATATTCCCACAACCTAAATCCAACATTTGCTTTTGGCCATATTTATTTTCTTTCTTTTACTTAGACACTTTAAAGCAAACACTTCAGCATAAATCTCCAAAAAAAAGGAGTAGGTTGTTCCATATCACCACAATAGCATTGCCACGCCTTGGAAATTGATAAAATAATTATCTAAAATCATCAAATACTTCATATTAAAAATGTTTCAGTTATCCCTAAAATATTTTTCATAACTGGTGTGTTCAAGTCACACTAATGAGTTCAAGCTGGTGTGTATAAACTCCACATTTTACAAATTCAGGAATGAAGTCACCAAGTCACACACAGCTAGTCACTAGAAGAGCTGGAATTTGAACACAGACACTCCAGCTGTAGAGCCTCTTTCTTGATAGTACACACAATGAATGCACCTAACACAATACCTGCCCTGGCAGGGCATCTTCTCTGCCCCCCATTCCTCCACATCTTCCTCCTCCTTCCCAGTACTTGTCAGCACCGGCTTCCCTTTTCACCCCAGTCCCTGTGGTACCTCTCATCTTTCCCCTTCCAGCCTATCTCGGCTGTTTCCAGAAGTGTCCTCACCTAACGCTGGTGCAAAGAAAGTCTGGAAGGATGGGAGCTGCCGGTCCCACTGGTATTCGGCAGCGGGCTTACTCCTCGGGGACTGGCAGCTCAGGGTCACGTTGGCCCCCACACGAGGCACACCCAGGAGACGGCAGGACGGAGGAGCTGGAGGAACTGGGGAAGAGGAGACTGATGAAAACCACACCAGGAGACCCACTGATCCTTTCCCTCTGCCCCGCACCCTTCTGTCACTTCATTTGTCCCTCCCCTAACTCTTGCCCTCAGCCATTTAGGAGAGAGACCTGCCAGACCTCCCTGTGGGGGTGGGGAGGAGTCCACAAGTCTGTGCTTCTCACTCACCCAGTACATTGAGTTCTAAGGTTTTGATGCTGTAGCCCCTACTGGTGCCTTCTTTGTCTTGCACATTCACAGAACAGCTGTAGGGGCCAGAGTCTTTCTCCTGGAGACCCTTCAGCCGCAGGGACACATTCCGGGAGGGCATAGAGTAGACCAGGGATACTCCACGTTTGCTTGTTGTGGCCCCATTGATGTAGGCCAACACCTGGTGTGGGGCATAACACATCCCCGTTACTACTGCATGTATATACTGTACCGCAGGCTCAGCCAGTCTCCCTCCCCCAACTGTCATTTTCCAAATGCCCCTCACGTGTACCCATTCTTCTAACCTGAACCAGCTCCCCATTCACCTTTTGTCCCTAGCCTCCTCTCACTGCCCCTGGGTCCTCTTCACCAGAACAGTTCTTGGTTCCTGTGCATTGTCTCATCTCCCAGTTGCGGTGTTTAGAAAGGTGACATGACAGTGAGAGCAGGGACAATGTTGGTAGGAGGTATGTATGCAAGCAACTCAGACTGCTGGGGTAGATCCAGGTTTGTAAGACCTGAAACTTACACATTAGGGGAGGAATCTTCGAGGAAAAAATATTTAAAAAAATTTTTTAAGTGTCAAATGAGGCTGAGCATGTTAGAGCACGACTGTGAGCACTTCAGGAGGCCGAGGCAGGTGGATTGCTTGAGTCCAATAGTTCGAGACCAGCCTGGGCAACACGGTGAAACAGTCTCTACAAAAAATACAAAAATTAGGCTGGCATGGTGGCGTGTGCTTGCAGTCCCAGCTACGGAGGGGACTGAGGTGGAAGGATTACTTGAGTGGGGGAGGTAGAGGCTGCAGGGAGCCATGATTGCACCATTACAGTCCAGCCTGGGCAACAGAATGAGACCCCATTTCAAAAAAACCCAAATGACTTCCTTGAACAGTTTTCAGGGGCTCCTAAACATTGTTTCATTCTCTTCTGGGTAAATCTGTATTTGGATGTAAGCCTGGTGTCAAGACAGATGGGTCAGAGATTGTGGGAGGAGATGGCCCCTTGGCTCTCAAGGTGGTATAAAGGGGCAAGGTGACAGGGAAGGATCATTTGGGAAGAGAATTGGCCTGTGACTCGACAGTATTCAAAGCAGAGAATGTGAAAACAGAAATATGCTTTTTTGTTGTTGTTGTTGACAGAGTCTGACTCTGTCACCCAGGTTGAAAGTGGCTCGATTTTGGCTCGCTGCAACCTCTGCCTTGTGGGTTCAAGTGATCCTCCTTCCTCAGCCTCCCATGTAGCTGGGATTACAGGTGCACACCACCACACCTGGCTAATTTTTGTATTTTTAGTAGAGATGGGTTTTTACCATGTTGGCCAGGCTGGTCTCCAGCTCTTGGCCTCAAGTGATCTGCCTTTCTCAGGCTCCCAAAGTGCTGAGTTTAAAAGTGTGAGCCACCACGTCCGGCCAGAAATATGCTAACTTTTACAAGTCGTGCATGTTACTTCCCCTAAGCTTTCTCAGCCCTCAACTTCCATTCTTCCTCTCCTTTTTCCTCCATAACCAAATAAAATGCCTCTCCACTTTCACGGTGTTTTGTGTCCTAGAATTTTTGGGAAAGTTGGGCAAAAGATAACTGGGAAGTCCCTAATATCAGAACAAAAACTGAACTGGTGCAGACTTCTGCTCTTCCCTGAAAC